CCCAAGCCAAGATCTATATCAACGGGAACATAAACAAGCAAGGGCCTGGGTCGGGAAGACTGTCAGAGGACTGGGACAGCTATGCAGCATTTGGCAAACACCAGGGATCAGTGACTGACATCGATACATTGGATGAAGTGTACATGTACAGCAGAGAGCTGTTACCATTTGAAGTCAAAACACTTTACGACAATTGTAACTTCGGCTCAGCTAAAACTCGTGAGTTAACATGCGTAAAATACAGTGGCGGATCCAGGCCTTCACATAACAGGGGGCCCGATCATCCAGACCTTCAGATAAGGCGAGGGCGGTTTTAGAAAAAATATATTTTTGGACCCTTCGGGCCTCAGTTTAGTCTAGAAATAAGGGGGTCGGGCCCCCTCGCCCCTTGCCTGGATCTGTCACTGCAATAACGTGGTCTGCCCGATGTCTTCAACTGAACTGAGAATTTAATCATAGATTCACATTTATTTCTCGCTTTCCTTTTGTTCTTCAATTTACTCCGAAGTTACTGTCATCTTGAAAATTTTTGGTGTATCATAGAAATATTTCATCATCCTGATTTTATTTATTTCTTAAGAATCGATTGACGATTACTATGAAAATCCCCAAGGCAAGAATCAACTTTATCTCGTACTTGGAAAAGTTGTTGGCAACAAGCTTTTCCTTTCTTTTTTGTGAAAGATAAAAAACGAGGGAGTCCATTAAATTCAATCAAATGTACCATTATTACCTACCCTACACAATAAAATATAAGAAGCCCATCTCATATTTTATGTATGTAGCCTGTGAGAGTGGTAAAACCACGATGTCTTTCAGCGCTTGATAAAGCGCTAAAAATCGATTTATATTTTTGCTTCCTTGTCGTTTTAGCGAGCACGGGCCAAGTGTTCTACTTTGGGTTTGACCGCGTTTCAGGCAGTGCGGTGTATGATGATTCCGGAAGCGGAAATAACGGTGAACTCACCAGCCTCGCCACTGTGACTAAGACCAGCGGGAATTGTGGGAATGGTCTTCAGCTACATGGAGGTGAGTGAAATGAGGAAACAAGCAATTGATATTAGGAGGCGCCATAACCGCGCTATCTAGTGATATTTTATCTCAGTGTTATTTATGGTTCGAAGGAAGATTCAGAATTGAATCATCTTTTGGCGTGATTTCTACAGTGAATAGAGAATAATTATTCGAGACAGGCCCCAATTTCGTACACGGGTTGCTCACATAATTATGTTATGTATTTTTTTTTTAGTAGAAAAATACCCCATTTGCCGGTGAAAAGCTGTACTTGCTATAGCAAGGTCTTGTTCAAGAAAAAAAGGAAATTCGAAGTAACAAACGGAAAAAGAAATTATGGTGTTAAATCTTCCTATCCAATATAAGAATGGGCATCTTAAGACAAAGTCAATGAGACATTTCTTGTTCCCTCATCTTGTTCCATGATTGTGCAATTTTTCACCGGTATCTTTCTTCAAAACAGTACCATCAAAATGAATTTAAACCACTTTAACCGCTTTTTTATTTGCTTGTTAAATTAAAAAGTATTATCATAGATTGAGCAGAATCCTTCGTCAGGGGCCTATTCATTTCTCGCACAATTTTTTCGGGCGGTTCTGTACAGTCTGTAAATTACAGATCCTAAATTTCGGCTAATACGAGGTCTTTAACAAACCTCAGAAAAAAGAAAGATCTTTCGCATTTTAAAAATTTGTTAGGTAACATTCTCATCAACGGTCAGCTGGTGAAAAGGAAACCGCTGTTCAGTGTTACCATAGCGCTGTGGCTCAAACTTGATACCAATCGTGGTCAGCAAACCATATTTAGCACGTGCAATCCGGACAATCCGTGGAATACTCGCGCCCAGTACTCACTTGAAATCATGGACGGGCGAGTGAGGTGGTTCCATCGGAACGAAAAATCGCAGGTAAAAAAATACTTTACTTTGACTGTTGTTGTTGTTCTTTTTTGTTTTTGTTTTTAATTTTTTTTATCATTATTACTATTGTTATTGTATAGTTAAGGTGCAAGACCGCTACAAAAAAACCGTGTAAGATCAATCTTACTCAACGTCGGATCAAAAAAAAATCGCGACCAGTGAAATGAAAAGTAATAAAAGTATAAATTTTTTGTCATAAAGACAGCGGCAAGGACTGATCAAACAACGTGAATAGACGGTAGTTACAATATTTCGTCTGGGCAATACCAGTCTTCATCAGGTTTATTAAGAAGATCACGAATTCACAGAAAGGTATAATTTCCATCATCATCATCCTAAATATTAATAATAATAATAATAATAATAATAATGTTATTATTATTATTATTACTATTATTACTATTTTCAAGAGATAATCTATAGTTCACACGAGCGAGGAAACAAAAGCGCAAGTACAGGCACAAGAAATCTCATGTTTGAACTGCAACGAAGCAAACACAAGCGCGTGCGCATGCGCCAAAGTAAGTGTTGGATATACGTTCAGAAATTGTTTGTCTTGAACAAAACATTTACCTTGAATGGCCCGGGTGAATAAATTAACTATAGAAAAGAAAAACTATTTCCATTATGCCCGCCTCGTAGCTAAAGGCGAAAATATGGAGTTAATTGTATTTGTTATGAAAGTCTGAATTTTTTTTCAGGCTATTCAGCTGTATGTGGTGATCTTCTCTACATGTATTTCTTCATCCCTCAGTTCAAATACATGAAATTCATATATTCATA